GCCAGGGCACAGCAGAGAGGTGGGTCCCTCAGGACTGGTATGAAATGCCTCCTTGACATGGCTGGCAAGTGTTTAGTTGCCTGGGGAGTTTGAGGGGAGGGGTGACTGAGATGAATTGCATCTGTTGCCACACCAAGATTTTCCCTCGCTTTCTGGCAGCGAAGTGGCCCAGCAGTGCTTATCCTCAGTCAGCACATCTTGGTGACTTTCTAGGTACTAACCCGGCCATGCAGCCCCTTTAGGGCACTTGTCCTTTTCAAGACCCCAACCTGAGTATGAGCAGAGACTGTGTGAGTGATCATTACCTTTTACTTTCAGACTCCAGACTATCCTATGACCCCTTCTCCGAGGCTGTCTATGAAGAGATTGATTATAATCTGATGGGGGAAAAGCAGGTCGTGACTTTCCTCTCAGGTCTGTGTGTCTTGCTCTTCTCAAGGGAAAGCTCTTTCTGGTGCCCCCGACCCCCGTCTGATACTTTGCAGCTCCCAAATCTACCGGAAAACTAAAAATTCCTAGATTTGAGGAGAGGAGTTTTCTGCCCAGTGGACTCTGCCAATTCCTCTCCTAAGGACAATTTGTTTTGTGCAGCCATAGACCATAGATCAGTATAGGTCAAACAAAACAAACAAACAAAAGCTTCTTGCTGCAATTATTTAAAGCAGGGACAAATAAAGGAATAATTTGCATCTCTCTGCCAGGAACTGTGCCCCTGTAGGCTTCCTCCTGTGGATTGCTTTTCTCCCTTTGTGGCTTGTCTCCCCCATGAGCTATGAGAATGTTATGGGACCCCTGAGGGATCCTTGGTTATTCCACTGTAAGCCTTGCAGGAGTAATGCTGACTGCCTAAGAATCTGTTGAACTTGGATGGTATTACTCTAGCCTGCTCTTTTTCTCATGATGCAGTCTTAGCAGATAAGGAGAGTTTAATCTGATACCACATTCTTTCCCATTTGCCTAGATTCTTATTCAGAGAGTTCAAAAACAAAGGCACAGTTTTATAGAGGAGACGATGAAGAAAATGGTCCTGGAGCAACTCAAGGTAATGATCATACAAAGAAAGAGATCCCAGATCAGAGTAGTTTTTAATTCCAAAATTTTCATTATTAGTGATTAAAACTTTTTCATTGCTGCACTCCATGTGCTAGTGATGTTTTGATGTGAATCAAAATTTTCTTTTTAACTCTTGTGGTGGAAGAATGTCATACAATCTCATATACAAGTGCTAGTTTTCTCTTCTATATGAGAAGTTTGAAATAGACATTTGCTGATACTGTTGCACACTCCACAGGATCCAGTCACATGAATCCAACAATTTGATAACTGCTTCTTCCAGAAATTTCAACTGTAATAGCTTGTAAACTATTGCTTTATTTCTGAGAAAAATGAGGAGAATTAAGACAGAGGAAAGACATGCTCCAAATAAGAACACTGGCATACAATTTGAATAGGTTAGGAAATTTTAATCCAAGAGGTCTGAAGAAAACGCAGATTCCCAGCTGCAGGGTTTTGGTTTGGTTTGGTTTTTTTTTAAATTTGAAATAGCTGAAGGAGAGCAAGTGTTTGAAAAAGAGCTGAAATTTCCTAGAACTGATCAAAAAGCTCCTTCAGCTGCTGTCTGGTCTCCAAGAGATCAACTTCAAAAGGCACAAGCAGTTTTGGACCTCAGTTGCCCATATATCAGACTCTGCTGCATCATGTCCTTAATTTTATTGTCCATTGCTTTTTTAATACTGATTTTTTTTTAGTTAAAAATAAATTAAAAGCTTTTTCTTACTTGTTTTGAAATGCTTATAAAGATGATAATTATTCCAAATAAGATCTCTTTTTCTTATTCAGATTGAGTATTGATTGTTACATAAAAAGTAAAACAGGAGGGCTTTAATTTATTTTCATGTTTATACACATATTATTTGTAAGTATATGTATATACCATAAAACTGTGAAAACTAACATTCTCTGAGGGATGGATTCCAGTTAAGTACAGACATGTCAGTATTAAAGCCTTGTATTGCTGGATCATCAGCTACTGCTTTCTCTAGTGGAAGAACTCTCCTTGTTATAGCTAATACCTGTACTGTTCCAGAGATCTTTCCACTGCCTGAAAATGCCCTAGAAAATGACTATGATGATGCGACAGAAGCTTCTGGACCTAAAGATGCTTCTCTTTACGGGCAGAATGAACAGGAAATCATTGGGAACCCTGGAGAAAGTGACAGAAACAAGGACTCACAGACAGGTGAGGCTAGAAGAGCAATGCTGTTAGTTTTCGTAATCAATAATTACTGTATTGAACTCAAAGATAATCAAGGTGGAAGGTACCTCAAGGGATCAGCTAGGTTTTATCTAACCACTATCAGGAAGAATTGCCTTTACTAGAAGTGTTTAAAGTCAGATCAGTAATCTGTTTTCTGGAAACAGCTAGCTTGATCTTTGGATATGTGTGCATGTTATCAGAAGGCAGAATGACATAAGCATTTCTCAGGTCTTTCACAGTCACTCATATCTAAGGTTCTGATTTCTAGAGGAGACAAATGACAGCTGCGCAACCATATAAATGGGTTTATACAATACAGAGTGTGCATTTATCTGTCTCAAGTGTTCTTCCCTTCATGTTTTCAGACTGGAGTCCTAGTATGTTCCGAAACAGGACCCCTGAAGCTGAGAGATCTTCATCCCCTGCTCTTGAAGATACAGGCTATGATTACATTGAAGAGCTGGGATGCTGATAGAGACTGCTGAGCTGTACTGACCACTTTTGGAAATAAAACTGTTCATAAAATGCTAATTCACTACTAGCAGAACCAGAACAACCTACACTTAGGATTAGTTTACATAAATTTGGATTATTTGTAGAGAAGTGATTACACACTTCTAAGATAAACAAACACGACTTTCAAGAAAATCTTTCAAATTTCCCTTATAATTTCTTGTTGCCAAGACTGCCTATATGCTTTTTGCTTTTAATTTCTAAATATTGTAGTTGCAATTATTTTTCTACTGAGTTAATCTGTTAAATTACGATATTTTCTTATTAGAAACTGTTCAAAGATCTCTTCTCAAATTTATGCTTTTCCTCCCAGATACATGGGACACCTTTCTGGGGATTATTATGAATGGAGAATGAACTGCAAGAAAATAATCAAAATTCTGTTTCATCCAAGTCTTTGAAAAAGGAATTCTTGCTGATTGCTTCTGCAACACCATCAACAAGGCCTGACAGGCATGCCGTGAGAGATGGAAGGAGAGAAACGCATACATCCATGTGATTTAACTGCATCATGCTATCTACTTTCCTGACTCACTAACAGAAAAACTGGGAAAGTAGAAATAGAGAGTGTTTGCAAGGAACAGGAAAAGGCAGCAGAAACTGACAGGGGCAACCAATTCTATGGCAGAAAAAGGTCTGGCAGAAATTTTATCCCTGTCAGAACTCTACACAGGACAGAATTTCTCCTCTCTGGTGGCACCAGGCAGTGACCAGGAAGAAGGAAACCCTGGAGCCTCAGAGATGGCAACAACTGATGTCATCAACATGATCCATTTAAGCTGAGTATTCCCCAGGTGACTGGGGTATATAATCCTCACTGGGATGAGTGGACTGATATTGGGAATGTGCTCACGGTGTTAAAATTTGTAGCCAAACTCTTACAACATTATGGCTGCACCTAAATGGGACCCGCACAAGGTCATTTTTGGGATAATTGGAGTAATTGTATTGAAAGCATATTAACAGAACAGAAGATTAACAAAAGATGTAAAGTGGCTTAACTGTGGGATCTATCAAGCAAAATTCTTATTTTGGGGGATGAAAACAGACGCATACCGAATTATGTATAAGTAACAGATCACTTCAATTTATTAAATCAGAAACAATGAATCATTCATTGAGGCTAAAGAGCAGGATGAAAACCAAGAGAATCAGGCTAACACCAAGCTCATTACAAATCTACCTTTAAAGTTTTTAAAAAAAACAGGTACAAAAGGAAATTGTTGTCTGTGAGTGGAGTTACAGGTAGCACTGCTTGCTGCAGTCTGTGTAGCCAGCTGTGTTAGTGTCCTGTGTGTATGTACCTATGAATCTCTCTGGGACACACACTCGGGCTCTCTACTGGCTGAACTGGCACATGGGAAAGCAGTAGTCACATCCATAGGCTCCAGTGGCCCGGAAAAAGGAAACCCCAGATGTTCAGAGGATGTCTGAGGCAGTGACTTATAGCATCCGTTAAATTCACACTCTGCAGTGGTTTTGACCCCTTGAGAAAAATGCAAGGCAGGATTTTCCTTTGAAAAGGCACTACTAATTCTTCTAAATAGATTTTTTTTTTTTGTTCAGTCGTTCATTAATTCCTTTTTCCCACTATGTCTACCAATGTGCCTGGTAAAGACTTCACACTGGTGTTTCCCAGCTCTCTCCCAAATCCTTTCTTAACGATTGTTTCACTGCCCTGTACTCGCGTGTTAAAAAAAGATTTCAGCAACTGTCGGTAGTTCGTGTTTTTCATCCTTAAAAGTTACTCTTAGTTCAGAAAGCCGCTTTGTTGACAATTGAGATTACAGCCAGACGAATCATGAGGAGCACGTGACAGGATGCAGGGGGAAGCGTTTGGGCATTGCACGTAACTTCTTGTAGGATGGTTAGGGGAGGAACTAAAGCTGGGGGAAAGGGAAGGGTTTAGCTGAATGGAGGAGGAACAAGTATGGGAAAATCGAGGGTAGGGAGACAAAAGGGCCAGTTGCACGTAAAGCGTTTGCTGATCCGGCAGGGAAGCCGTGCTCCCGGGAAAACATGCTGCACTGCTCCGCTGAGTCAGCTCCCGGGTTCCCTCCTCGGGAGCCTCCACTCCCCCGGCCTCGCCATGGAGAAGGACTCAGGCTCCCTCCCGGTCCCCCGCGAAGCCGCGGTTCCCGCCCCCACCCCTCCTCTTCCTCCCGGGCCGGGAGTCACAAGAGGGACAGCGAAAGGACGGGCCGGGCAGCGGCTCAGGGAAGGACGGGGAGGAGGCTGAGGGGCGGGCGTGCAGGGACTGCGGAAGGGCCGCCCCGCTCCCTGCCCGGGGCGGCGCTGCTGCTGCTGCGGGAGCGCGCTCGGGAGCGGCGGGACGGGACGGGGCCAGGATGAGCCGGACGGTCGTGGAGCTGTTTTACGATGTGATCTCCCCGTACTCCTGGCTGGGGTTTGAGGTGAGGGTGCGGCAGAAGGCGGGAGGCCCTGCCCGGAACGCCTCGGGTCACTGCGGCCGCTGGTGCCCGGGCGGTCCCGGGAGGTCGCTCCCGTCGCCGCCTCCCTTTCCGAAGGGCCGCTCAAGGGCAGCTCGTCCGGCCGGCTGCAGGCAGTGCCCTTCCCGCCTCGCAGTTAGTTCTTCTTGCACCTCTGAGGGGTGTCTGGGTTTCTTCCTCGGGTGTTGAAATCCAGGGAAGCGTGTCCCAGCCAAACGGCGGCATGGCCTGTGCCTACGCGGGAGTTACTGCTGAACATTTTGCTTCAGAGATAGTTTTGATGTTTAACAGGTGTGAGCGTCCACTCATGAGCTTAATCTTTCGCTTATTTATTCCTGCTTAGACTTTTACAGTCATGATACGAATATGGTCCTCTCAGTTTTTCTGAGATCAGTTCTCTGGCAGCATCTAGAAAAGGCTTTAGGGCTATCACTGATAAAATAGAAAAGGATTTATCTGAAGTGTCTATTTACTGCCTTACCTGCACACAGCTCTATAGACACCTCTGACTTTTAAATCATTACTCTTTTATGTTGCAGGTTCTCTGCCGGTACCAGCACATCTGGAATATTGACCTGCGCTTTCGCCCAGCGTTCCTTGGTGGCATAATGCAACAAACTGGTAGGCAACACAAAGAGATTAGTTCTATAGGGTAGCACCTTCTTCACTAGTAGGGCACTAGTGGGCAAACTCTTGGTGAGTGCAGAGCCCACAGAGCCTGCTTTAAACTAATTTTTGGCACCAATAACAAATTAATCATAGGATTGTGGAGCTCGCTAGCGATTGAGAAATCACTCACAAAGAATTTCATACTGTTGCAACTACGTAGCCACACAGACTTTGGCAGTCTGTGCCAAAGTTCATCAGTTCTAAAATACCATAATAATTTGATATGGAGTGTTTTCCTTAAAGTTTTCTGTTGAGTTGAAACCAGAAATAATTTGTGGAACTCTTGCACTTTGTAATATGCAGGAAGGATCCAAGTATGTCCTAAAACAGTACTCATGGTCTCATTAAAACAAATTGATCACTGAGACTTACAAATCATGAAATTAACAAGTCTCTACATTGGTTTACCCATGCATTAGTAGTTGTCTGTCTTAAAAGTCTGAATCAACAAAAATCCCTGCTAGGACATTTGTACCTTGGTTTAAAACTGATTCTGCTATCTTAAAGGGTTGATCTGTGCAAAACCAAAATAAATCATGTTTAAATCCTAGCATTATCTTTGGAAAAGCTGAGTATGTTTCAGTAAGCCAATAAGAAATTATACTCTTCCTTGGGCACATGTACATATGAGGTCTAATTTGTCCAGTGTTGGTTTGTCCAGTATTATAATACAGTTGGAAATCTCAACAGAACTTTTTCCTTAAAGGTAACAAGCCACCAGCAATGTTACCAAAGCGTGCTGAATACCTGCTGAAGGATATAAAAAGGATGGCAAAATACTACCAAGTGCCTGTAAAAATTTCCAGAGATGACTTCCAACGTATTTTTCGTACAAGTAAGAAAGAGACTTAGCTTAGCTGGTGTTTCTCATCTCTAACACTTCTGGTTCGAGTTCTCCCTAACAGTAAAGGTGAAAATTAATTCCCTGTCCGCAGCCTTTTTCTGTATCTATGAGCAATATGTGCATTTTTAACCATAAAAGAAATTTCTGGAGAAATATGACTGTGAATGATATAATTCACATAATATCAGTGGGAGATAATTGATAGCGAATCAACATAAGCTACTATGAATCAACATAAGCTTTACTATTAAAGACTGGATTTGTCGGGCCTGTTACAGAGGAGGTCATACTGTTCTTAGGTAGCACTCATGCAGACCATCTCTGTTCCTGAACCTGTGCCTTGTTTCTCTGTCTCCCCACTAATCCCAGGCAGTCTTGCGGCCATGCGCTTTATCACAGCCATTGATATGACAAAACCAGAATACCTGGAACCCTTATCTAGGGAGTTCTGGATACGTTTCTGGTCACAGGTCAGTATTTTATGAAGCCAACTTTTTGATCCTTTCTGTCACCCTTCCTGTCCCACACCATTCAAATGTGGGATTCAAGCAAGAGAAAGGAAATGTCTTTTAATGAAGAGTCATAAGAGGAACTTAAGGTCATAGTAGTTCTGGAACCACTGTGAAAAGAACTAGTTTATAGTCACCTTAATTTACTTCTTTTAGTTTACTCATCATATGATGAGTCCTACAGGATGAGTGGATCAGTGGTTCCTATCAGAAAAAACTTCCTAGATTAGGTGACTTAATACCTTTTCTGAGGAAATTTCTCCAGCAACTAGTATATTGGTTTTATTTCTATTTTGTTAGAAAACTTGCTTTCAAGTCTGGAGCTGAGCTTTTGTTCTTAAGTACTGATTTACTTATTTTATTCTTTTACCAGCATGAAGATATCAGTCAGCCAGAGAACATATTGACTGTAAGTGTCTCCTTTTTTTGGTGCTTCTGCATTTCTGATACAGATTCTTATTGATGACTTGGATCAGTAATAAATATGAAGACAGCTTAGTCAAATGAACACTTGGAGTTTTGAAAAATTTCAGGTAGAAAAAAATGGATTTAATTTGCCTAGAAGCTCTGTTTGGAATGTGGGGTTTTTTTCTTGTCATGCTTGCATCACATTCAGAACCAGAATCCCCTTTTTTTTTTTTGTTAATTCACGTGGCAAGATACCCAGGATGGACAATTAGTTATCTGTTAATACTGCTTTATTAAGTCTTGAAAGTACAAACCGTTTCTCCAGAATACATTGAGGTATTGCTGCCATATGAAATGTTCAGGTAAAATGTAACACTTTGGGGAAGTTGACTTTCCATGGAGTGATGGAGCCAGGCTTTCTGATAAGCTCAGTGCTGCATTGCCCTTTTGTATGCTTAGAAATTACACTCTTGATGTATTTTCTTTTGATGTTTAGATTTTGTTTATTATAGTAAAAGCTGTCATGGTATGTAAGTTCATATACCAGGAGATCCTCTTTAAGGGCTCTCCTTTCTACATTATTTTATAAGTTCTTTTAGTATGAAGAAAAGAGAGGAATTGTCCACGACTGGTCTCTCCTACCCAACGTCCCTAATTGAAATTTGAAACTTGCAGTCTTGCTTTTCCCTCAGTCTAGTCCTTGCACTTCAGCTTCCTCTTAGTGTACCTTTTTTACCAGAATTACAGCAAAGGCTTGCCTTTTCCCTTTTCAAGAGGCAAGATTTGAAGGATATAATTAAACTGTGGTGTGCTAACCCTGGTAGGCAGCTGAGCACCACACAGACATTCACTTGCTTCCTCCCACTGCCCAGGAGGACAGGGGAAGAGGTAAAGAAGAATAAAAGCAAGAAAACTTGTAGGTTGAGATAAAATTGCTTAATAAGCAAAAGTGGAAGAAGAGTGAAAGAAAACAAAGCAAAGGCCATCACTCACCACCTCCTACAGGTAGACTGATGCCAAGCCAGTTCCCAAACAAAAGGAGGTTAACCTCCTTAAACTGCCTCCTCACTAATTATTGCTCAGCCTGTTATATGGCATGGTATATCTCTTTGGTTAGTTCAGGTCATCTGCCTTGTGTCATCTCCCAACATGTTGTGAACCCCCCATTTATTCACTGTGGGGGCAGAGTGAGAAACAGAGAATGCCTTGACACTATGCAAATACCATTCATCAATAGCTAAACCAATTAGTATGTTATCAGCATTGTTTTGGTCACAACTCTGAAACAAAACCATAGGAGCTGCTATGAAGAAAAGTAGCTCCATCCCAACCAGACCCAGTACATAAATATATACAGAACATCACCGCATAGTCTCTTAATCCATCACTATTTAAATAAATCAAGGACATGCAGAACTTCAGAGTCAGACTTCACACTCAGAAAGATCTTAAGTTTAGTCACTGTTTGGCAGTCAATAAGAATCCCCCTATGTTCATTGAGGCAGACAAGTAGATGTCCTCTTGTTTGCTTGTGTCTGTCTTCATTCACCCCTGCAGCAAGTACTAGACTTTCCTCTCTTCTGAAAATTTGCCATCCAAAGGGGTCCTTGGTGAGAGGTCCCAACCCTTTCATCTGAGTCATTATAGGCGAATTTATTTTACACATCAATTAGAAAAACTGAATGGTTTTTACTTGATAACAGTTCCTTAATATTTTTTTACTTCTTTATTTTTGTCAGCAATAACTTCACATAAATTGCTATAGCAGCAGTGTATAGTCTGAATTCTGCCTCAGTCTATTTAAGTACTCTTTCTGCCCTTAAAATGGTGAGGACTAGATACTACATCACTGCAATCTAATACTGCAGTCTGAACACTGGCTATCAAGCATACACAGCATTTTGTTCTCATCCAGTGCTACATTTGTTTAAGCTCCTGTTCAAGCACAGTAAAAAAGAGCTCCTAATCTCCCTGATGTGTAAGTAGGAGAAGGTACAAGGAAATGTGGATGCTAAACAAAAAAAAGCAATTGAAAGAAAGAATCAGTAATACCTGCATGTGCAGGATTAGTGGTCCATATGCAATGTTGGTTTATTGGTTTGTTTTTTGTTGGTGGATTTTGTTTTGTTTTGGTTGGGGGTTTTTTGGTTTGTTTTGTTGTTGTTGTTTTGGGGTTTTTGGTTTGTTGTTGTTGTTTTTGTTTTGGGGTTTTTAATTAAAAAAAAAAAAAAAGAAAAAGCATGCCATTCAGGTAGATGGCAGGCAAGTTAAGCTTTTTTTTTAGTGAAATACTTTATTAAAAGTAATTGTAATCTCAGTTTTATCTCATAAACATCAGACCTTTAACTTTGGCTACTTTATCTCCTTCCTGTGTGGCAGAAGCACAGAGGAGGTGAAAAAGATACAGCAGTAATACCAGCAACTGTTTAACCTCCTTGAGTTACAGTGACTGACTTTCATGCAGTCACCTACAGAATCCATGTGGCCACATTTGCCATACAAACTGTTTCTGTCTTGATAGGCTTGTACAGTAAGATTTTGTTTTCATAATACCAGTTTGAGGTTTTTGTAATTTATTGTAATTTATTTGGTAATTTATTTATGAGTCGTCGTATTAGAGGTTCAACTTAGGAGTGTTTTTTTCCCTTTTATGTTTAGGAACTCCTTAAAATAATGTGCAGATTTTGGAAGTTTAAAATGTCTCTTCTACTTTGTATCTGAAAACTGTTAAATGATGAATGGGTTGGGCACACAGCAAGACAATTGTGCAAGAAGTGCTTCAAGAGTATTTTGAAATTTTTTTTGCAATAGACCTTGGGTGATAATACTAAGGATTAAATTAATTAGACCATAGTAGGAATTAGAGTATTTACTAATAAGGTACTCCTAATTATATCATCTTTTCTCAGGTTGCCCGACAGGCTGGGCTATCATCAGAGCTCTCCCAGAAGGTACTTGAAATGATTTCATCCCCTACAGTGAAGGACCGACTGAGAGAGACAACAGATGAAGCAATGAAATATGGGGTGAGACGCTTCCAATGCCATTGGGCTTCACAGCTATGCATTTCTTCTCTATTATGAATATGGGGAAGCAAGGAACAATGAAGGTGATGATTAGAAAGCACTATACAGACCATCTCTGTTGGGTGCTCTTTGCTTTTTGAATGTGTGAAAGCTAACTCACTGTTGTTGGTAGTTTATTTCACTGTCATATGGGAAAACCAGGTTGACCCATTCAGCTTATTCCAGCTGGACAGCAAGGAGGGGACCAGTACCACAAGACACCACTTATCACTACTTGAAATAGAACTGTGGATTTATCAGGCTACTTTTTTTGCTCCTTCAAAAGGGGCACACAAGGTCTGGAGAGTCACCTATCTTCTGATGGCTCCATTAGACTTCAAGAATGAAGAAGGTGAAAAGAAGGGGAGGAAAAAAAGTCAAACTTATTGGGGTTCATTCCTGAATACTGATGACGTGTCTGCAAAAAATTTTCTCATTATAACATTCTCTGTTTCATCTCCCTGGTGTTAATAGGCATTTGGGATGCCTGCTGTTGTGGCACATTATAATGGGGAACCTCATCTCTTTTTTGGCTCTGATCGTTTAGAGCTGCTAGGCAGCGTTATAGGTGAGTCTACCTAATAACATCACTTCTGGTTTCAGACTTTCACCCTCTTTTAATGAAATACATAATGCAGCTGAATAAAATGCTCTTAAGGTCTTTCAAATATTTTTAGTTTTAACATTTTCATTTTCTATCTCTTTAATAAAAAGCACAGCTCCCCAACCTATACCTTGCATAACTTGTGTCTACCTACACAAATTTGTAACAGATATTCATATATTAAACATCCTTATTTTCATTTTTCTACCACAGAATGCACACTTTAAATTTTTAAAGAGGTTGAAATAGGCTGTGTTAAAAAATCAAGTCACCTGTTTTAATGGGTTAGAGGGCATTTGTCTATTGATCTCAAGATTTGGCACTTGAGAGAGTATGTCACTAGAAAGAGTTATGCACATAACTAGCTCTCATGCATTTGTTGAAAAAATTCAGCAGAAAATATTAATGTAAATTAATATTAGTCATAGGCTTAAACAGAAGAGAAATGTTTTGAGTTTGTTTTTTTTTTCTCTTCTTAATGGGTTTCTGATTCCATAAAATGAGAGTGAGGAAGATGACTACCCAACACCCACTACAGTAGTCACTAGTCCTGATCAGAATGTTGTGGCCTGGTTTCTAATCTCAACTCCAAGGACTTACTCAGATTTTCTTTTTGTTTCTCTGACTCCCCAGCCTTCCACTCTTTTTTGCTTTCTTAGTCCCCAGCCCCCCCAAAAAGGAGTCCTAAAAAGAATTGGTTTGACCCTCATGTGCAATACCCCAGACCCACCAAATTTCTCATGTCTAACAGAGGAAAAATTCTTCTGTACAGCTTCAGCTGTTCCTAGACAGTGAAGGATTTATGCAGCTGTCTGAAGTCAAACCACATAAAGATCTGTATTCTGTCTCAGTAGTTACCCCTCAAAAGAGTAGGAATAATCATCCTGCTGTAGAAATATGACTGCTGAATTACTCCTGTGTATTAAATTCTAACTGTCTCTTTTGTCTGGTTTGTCTTGCAGGTGAAAAATGGCTGGGACCAGCCCCAAGTGCCAAACTGTGAAAAGTCCTGGGGAAGTATACAAGAAGGAAAATACATATATATATACACACAGTCAATCTTTAGTGATTATCTGAATATATCAATTTTAGGGAGAGATGGCTTTCTGATCCATAACAGTTACTTTTACAGCTTGATCTCATCTCCAATTAGGAAGAATTTCAAGGTTTGCCAGTATTACAGTTTGGTGAGGTCTTTACCAATACAAATGTGCTTAGTTTTTTTCAACAGATCACAGACTAACATGAAAGATAAAACATTAAATATTTAACTTCTTGCAAATCAAACATTCTTCTTTTCTCGTTAGTCCTCTTTTCGTTTACCCTAAAACATGAGGGTTAAATTGTAATGGGACTGTGATCTCTGGACTTCTTATGTCTTCCTGCTTGTCCTTTGTAAACACACACACACACACACACACACACACAGCCTAAGAGAAGCGGCCATATTCTTCTTTTATTTTAAATCCAATATACTACATAGGCACTAGAAGCACAGGATAAGGTATTCATGCTTCCTTTTACTTAGCAGCGTGGCAACTGGAGGGGACACAATTCAAGCCCAAAGAAAAGTCTAGGGAACCAATCAAGTATTTCAAAAGGAATTGTCCCCATCCTGAACAGTATTTTGTACACCTTGCTCTGCAGTGACTGACATTTGAGGAAACCACCATACACGTGCAGCACCAATCCCAGACCTTGCAGGAGTTTTTAGTTAATGCAAGTTTTACAGTAATGTCTTCGCAGGACAGTGGTAATCACCATGCAAGTTTAGCTGGTAACTGAACCAGATTGTATTTTGCCCTAACTGCTGCCTATCCAAAGGTGATTTGGATATGGCTATGAGGGACTTTCCATCACATAGTCTGCAGAGGAAAAGGTGTGGAAACAATAAAATTAAGAAATTTCCATGGAAACAGTTTGATCCTGGCCCTGTATTGGCTGAATTGGAGTAACACATTGAAACTAATTTGATTTGTATGAAGCTTGATTTCTCAATGATCCCAGGCTGTCTCTGATGCATCACTGAATGAAGCAGAAGAACTAGCAGCAGCTGGAATTCTGGTTTTTGTCTTTTTCTGAACTTTAAGGTAAAGCATGTTCACACTTGTTCATTTGAACAGCAAATCCTGGAACAAAGCATCAGAAAAAAAATCTGTATCTTTCATGTTCTTACAGCTATAAGTGCTGTGGGAGTATCATGTTCCCCCATCCACAATTTTGCCTTCTTACACCTCTTTCAGTTCTTCAGGAAATATCCTATAACTTAAGAACCCCTTCCTCCTTTCTACTAGTGCACCCATTAGTCTTTGGGCAAATCCAGCCTGGAACTTCAGGTAATCTTTTTGAGATACAAAAGGAGTTAGAATGACATGTATGTAGGTACCATAGGTTTCTTTGAGTCCCCTGAAGCCATGTTATAGCAATTTTTTACCACTTCTCTCCTGAAATTTGCTTGTCTCCAATCTGTGCTATCAAAGTGATTCTGAGGTGATAAAATGGAATGACTAAAACATCACTTTAAGCCAGTAGTGCTATCTTTAAGTGGGTAAAATGCCCTTTTGTGGAAGTAATGAACTCTGATGAGAAACTGGTGAGAATTCAAGGAACATCTGGAGATAATCTCAAGGTAAGAGCTGGGGTCTCATGAAATTTAATCATTTGAACCAGACAGATTGAAAAATAACCAGCCTTTGTGGCAGAATGTTGATTTAGCAGGTGTCCCAAATGAGATGGATCTTACAGACTGTGATATATTTCACAAAACTATTTTAAAGGCCCTTAGACCTACTTCAAATCAGTGGAAACTAAATGCTCAAAACCTTAGGTACTAAAATAATACTTAAAACACTACTGAGATAAGGAAAATCCAAACTCAGAATTTTCCTTCCATTGCTTAGTGCCTGTAATAACCACCAGTAAATGCAAAACCACAGCCTTTGCATTTATATCAGTGAGTTTGCAAATTGTTGTAATTCTGACTGTATACATACTTTGAGCAAAATTTGCCTGTTTGGGAGCAGAATTTTGATGGAGTTCTGCCTCTTGTTCAGACAACCTTGCTCCTGGGTTACAGAGCACAAGCTCGGCTGGCAGCTACACTGTCATGCTCAGTACTTGTCTTTGTTGTAGTGTGCATTGCAGTAGTCTCAGTGATAAGTAACAGCTTCTTTACTTGGCTTTTCCCTTTCTGATCTGTGTCACCAGTGACCACCACCACAAGGAGTGGTGGTGACTGACTTTGAATGCTGACTGCTGACCTGACTGCTCTGAATGCCACAAGGTGGCAGGGCAGCTAAAAGCCGAACATTGAAAAAACACTGAGGATCTAAACAGCAATAATAAGAACTACCAGCTGTTCAGGATTATTTAGCAATAGGTGGAAGAATTTTCTTCTATAAAGATGATACCCCTTCTACTTCACTATATACCAAACTAGTTCCTGAGAGCCTCACATCCACACCACTTTCAAGGCAGCATGTTGTTTAGCTGTCAGGCCAGAACTTGAGCAAGGCAAGGAATATACCAAGCGAAAAGAGATACTCTCAGCAACACAAGCAAAACTGGACTATGAATTGTAGGGAACAAACCTGAAGGTGTGTTCCCCTTTGCTCTATTACAGATCTCTCCAGGAAATCAAGTCCCACTTCCCATGTCTGGAAAAGCTGTGAAACTGGCATGGACAAGTAGGTCCCACCAATACTAGGCTAAAAGCAAACAAGCAAGTGAACAGATAGGCACAACATTACAATGAGCAAAAGAAAGGGGTTCTGTAGAGTAATGAAACTATAAGAAGCAGTAGATAGGCACAGAGAAAGCTAGATTGCATCTGAGCAAAGGAAATTGAACAAACAAACAAAAAAGAAGAGGAAAAAAACTGTGCCTAGATTAGGGCAGAGAGCAGTGTCTCCATGGGAAATGCTGTTCCCTGAGAGGAAGGAGGCAACCAAGAAAGGGAGAGCTTAGGTACATTAGGCAGGCCAGAGTCAGCTGGCCATGGAAGATCGTTTGGGGAAGAAGGTGTAGGATTAACTCTGTTTACTGTGGAGCCGTACAGTAATTGCTGCACTGTTTCAGTGAGGCCAGGGATGGCCAGGGATGGCCTCCATCCTGAGCCAAGGGCCTACAGCGCTCCTCCAGGTCCGTTACCTGTGCTCCTCACCCAGTGTGCACCAAGACAGTCCTCCAGCGGTGACATCACACACAGCACAAAATGGAGGCCTGCAGAACAAGGTAGTTCTTTAACCTCCCTCTACAAGTACCTTCTCATTGCCCTTTCAACCCTCAGCAAGCAAAGCCTCCTAAATAAAGTTCCTCTCTTTTCTCCCATCTTTGTGCAAATGAGAAGGAAACATTTTATTAAAGCACTTACTGGATTATGGTGCTGAGCATCTGCTTTGCTGCCTTTTCCTTTTCCAGTGGAGCCAGCAACACTGCTGGAAGGAAGCAACCTGCTTCCTAGAAGGGAACCAAGCACAGAACAATAAAGAAATAATCAAGAGGGCATCCCAGGAGTTGCACATATAGCTGGTTTTACCCCAATCTTTTCACAGATCTGTGACTCATCCACAGGTAAGAGTGAAAGGAATGTATCTATGGCCAACTTGACTAATGTTACCTTGACCTATTTCTCATTCTAGCTTGAAACACGAGGAAGGTGACTATTTTCATTTCATTCATTCATTCAAAAAAATCACTGGCCACTGGTTCCAGACTGTTTCAATGCCACAGCTCTTTGGCTTCTTGCCTAAAGAAGCTACACCTGTAGCTATCTAATGAGTAATAAAGGAATTTTCCAACCTTTACAAAGGTTTTCATGAGTCTGTTTATAATTTCTGTATCAGTCTAATGTTACACACAAAAAATAGTTTAAAATAATACAGCAGGTTCCAGTAAGTGACAATTCATGCAGTCAAGCTAAGAAATGCCATTACTAAATACATCTGTACAACCTGAATGCCTTATCTCTAAGAATATAACACTAGAAGTGTTAAAGAGAGTTATAGCTGGATTTATGTCCTGCCCTTGAGGCTAAGAGGAAAGTCACCTCTGCCTCATGTGATATGAACTGGCGTATGAGACATGTTTGTACTTTAAAGCCAAATCAAGAAATATTTTGGCAATGGCAGCTCTCTGTGTCTTTATCTGGGAGCATAATGACTACAGACTGCTGACACTTTTTTTTTGTTTTCTGTAACATTTTTCTCTTAATCTGAAAGGCAATTTGGAGAACTCAATAACGTGTACATGATTAGAAATTCTGGAATCATTCAGTGTAAGACCTAGACTTACAGTGGGCATGTCTTATGTTTCTCTGGAAAAAAAACAAAACCAATTCAGTCTGATTTTACACAGTGCATTAACTGTGGCTGAATAGTTATTGTATAGCTCAGTAAAGGGCAAAACTAAAACACCAGGATGCCTCTCTGTGTCCCAAGGGGCTTTCTTTGCTTTGTTTAGTTTAACTCTGGCATATCTTCAGTTTATTATGTTCAGTTATGGATAATTACAGTTCTTCCCTGTAGCACAGATTAACCCAAATTACCAATATTCATTTAAATGTAATTTTGTCTAGGAATACTAACATGTATTGCCACACTTGATCTTGTGGTAATTAGTCTTCCATCAGAACTGGATGTAGTAAATGAACAGAAAATTTTTAGTATTCGCAAAAATCAAAATAAATGTATCATCCCTGTGGTTTTCCTTCTTTTTTTTTAGCACAAAAAATTGGTCTTAATCCTATCTTTTTCTAGCTCAAGAACTGTCAGAATTTCTGGAAATAAATTTTCAAATTCAGAAGAGCAAGATTTCACCTTGTGCTTAGAGAATGCAGGCTTGACTCTGCTACCTCATACACCTCACACACACGTGTAACTACATCTCTGCAGTCTCCTGATTAGATGAATTGATTTCAACTAATCCGAAAAGTATCCATGTTTATCCATTTTAACAATGGCTCTCTTAGCACAAATCAGAAGCCCACATACAGACCTGCACGTTTTTTGGTGTACCCATATATAGGTTTGGTTTTTTTACATGTATGCAGTGAAGATATAAGAATAGATATGGTACAGCAGAAAATCACCACTCCTGCAGGGTGCAGCTGTCTGACCATGCCAAGGTACTGAGAAAGCACAGTGAAAGTTTTGCAGTGTCAGTATCAGATCATTGCCACTCACAGTGGAGTCTGTAAAACCTAAAAATTATGTTGAACATTATATCGCATTCTCTGCAATGATTATTCTTGGTGATGCATGATTTATATACTTGTGGGACAATAAGGAGTCAGCAGATAGGGAAACTATCTTGGGAAGAGCAGCAGAGGCCGCTAGAAAGCATCCATCTTTCTCACACCTGCCTGTTCTCAGTGTCATGCCACAAAGGCAATAGGCGTGAATTTGTGAGCGGAGCTGTGGCCCACTCAAGATAATCCCAGAAATACATGGAAATGGTAACCTGGACAATGTCATGGTGATACGAGTGAAAACCCTCTGTGAGGCACAGAGCAACTATTGCCTTTATGGTGTCATTTCCAGATCCCTTACAAAAGAGACAATTTCATGGTGTTGGGACTCCTGGCCTTACAGTATTTTTTAATCATTCTTGCTCTGAGCTGATGACACTGAACTCCTTCTTCCAAGCTTTCAAAAGAAGGACCTATTGAAGCTCATTCCTACCTTCTGCCTCATAATAGCAGCTCATTGGTTGTCTTCTGTTGTGAAGGTCCCTGACATGCTGCTTTTTCAAATCACCACATTTAACACCTTTATGTCTCTCCTTCAGAACAAGCAATATTTGTATATAGCACCCCAGCTCCTAATTGTAGCATATGGCATGGCTCTCCTCTTCCTCTGCATGATCAATAATCCCACTTGTTCTTCCTGTTCTCCCAGAGTTTCAACACCAGCACCTTGGGTTCTC